ACATGGCTGACCCTGACAAAGGATCTACAATCTGAGGTACAGGATCTCAGGATAAATCCTGAGGGGATTTCACTGACCTTATCAGACCCAAAAGTTACAACTCTTGTTGCATAGGTCGTGCTTTACCTTGGTCTTAATCATCCAGCAGAAAAGTATAAAAATGAAATAGAAGAAGTAAAGTCATGCTGTTATGTTGAGCTGTAGGGGACTCAGGTCAACAATTTCTGACATTACCAGTCAAGTGGAAGACCCAATACTATTATGGACTAATGGACTCTTTTTGAATAGTTTGATGAGATAACACACCTATAATATTCAAGTAACAGAACTAAACAAAAAAAAAGGGGGATAAAGATGAATGTCCATTTTGTATCTGTGTATTCAAAATGGTTAGAATAGATATACAGTTACATTCTCTTAATGAATAGGGGGATTTGTTCTAATAGTGTTTGTAAATAGGATATCATGTCTGCATCTCGTACAGCAAATAACCATTAAGAAGACAGTATGCAATGTATTAATTTTTGAAACTGTCATACAAATTTGGTTTGAAACTGTCTCATTGCTATTTGTTTCTAATAAAATTATGGGAAAAATAAATAAAAAAGTACAAAAAAATAAAATAAATAAAACCCAGCTTGAAAAAAAAAATTAACTGAAAATAGTATCCGTAGACCTCGACTGTAGCTGTAAATGGTCCTGTCAAGCACTTATCTTTTTGTTTATTTTGCATTCCAGGTTGGGAGATTTTAAACATTTCATTTATCTTAATCACCTACATGACTTAGAATAGCATATTCTATTCAGATATGGATGCTTAAGCTCTATTTTGTAGATTTTGTCTCTGTGTGTACAGAACTAATGTAATTTAAAATAGAAATAGGATTTGTCTTCATGGTTGCTGGTGGTAGAAGCTGTGAACATGAGAAATTAATGTTTTGAATGTATTTGTTGTTATATTATTTTCAATTTTCCTCCTTCTGAATCACTATATATAGTTTATTTTTAAAAATTGGGGTGTAGATTTAAGTACTGTGTAAATTTGTTATTAGCCACATGTTTCTATTTTTTAAAACTGTATGGTAAAAAAATAAATGTATCTTTTTTTCAAAATTTTATTGATAAACAGCAATGAGACAGTTTCAAATCAAATCGGAAGTACAGTTTCAACAAATAACACACTGCATATATTTTTCTTAGTGGTTAATTG